TTCTAAAACAGGAAAGTGGTATTGATTGGCCTGGCCCAGGGCTCTGTGACTGGACGTGCCAGCACCCTGCCCTGGCCGGCTGGGCTCCCGGCTGTAAACTCCACAGTGAGGGTTTATGAGACGTATGTGAGGCTCGCTGCTTTCCCCCTGGTTGCAGAATTTGCCAGTGAAGTCTCGGCAAGTCCTTCTTCTCCAGGTGCCTGGCAGGGACGGGCTCCGAGTAGTTCGGAGGGCTGTGGGCSAGACGGGCTGCCCGCCCGTGGGCAGGGTCTCGTGGAGGCCGGGGGGCTCTGCAGATGACAGCTGCTCAGAGAGCAGAACACCCAGCCCTGCCTGGGAGCGCATGTCACTGATCTGGCTGCTCGAGGAGGGGCCACTTTTATGTCATCCCTCCATGTAATTCGCTGGGCTTCCGGCAGCCAAGCCTCTGGGTGGGGATTCGAGCTGGAGCCACAGCCCCAGCCCTTCCTGAGGCCCCGCCTGGCCTGGCCGAGACCCGCYGTGGCACCCACACCTCTCCTCTGAACTTGGTGCCTGTTCCAGGCCTCTCGGGCACAGCACTGATCCGCTTGGGGCTGAATGGAGAGGTGAAAGGTGCCCTCGTTTTCCTGCTGCTTTAAGATATTTTTGGTCATGGAAGGAGAAAGAGAGTGTATGGTTATCACAAGTCATAAAGCTTCTGAAAGCTTGCATTAAAGCGTCTATCACCTGTCGGGGGCATTTGCATGAAATCAATAACGGCCGYCCATCTATCTTCTCTGATCACCTTTCATCAGGCTGATTCATTAAGTCCAGCAGTCATGGCGATTAGCTGGGAGAGAGGAGAGACCTGACATGTTAGGAATGCACAGGGCCACCATTTTTGTTCCCTGACCAGGAAACCTAACCCTTTAATCCTTTTTGGACTGTCACTTGGTGAGGCCACAGCAGCCGCCCATCTGCCCTGATGCCCGAGCTGTGCTTCTGTCTGACACCCTTGCCCAGGCCCAGGCAGAGACGTGACAAATTGTCCCCCAAGTCAATGCTGACAGCTTCTGATGATTAATGGTCTGATTATGAAGTGGTTTTACACATATAGAATTTACATCACAGAGAGTTAGAAATTTTGCCATGTCACACACACCAAGGCATTTTGAAGAGCTTTACTATTTGCAAAGAAAAAAGAGGGCAAAATCCCAGCAAAAGCCATGTCATGTAAAATCAATACGTCGGATCAATGCTTTATTAACAAGAAAATGTCTTACTTCACATTCCTGTGCGGACCTTTGTCTCTGGGATGTATGATGGAATGTCAAATCATATTGTGGTCCTCAACTTGCAGGCGTGTTATTGAGTGTGCATGCCAGGCTTCCTGCGTTGCTTACGAGATGCGCCCACAGCCCCAGCACTCGAGGATAACGGTGACCAATTACTGTGGAGAGCTTTTTCAAAGGCAGCCCCTAACCTTCCTCTTAGGAAGTGGTGGCCTTTGTGTTCCCCTGCACTCCACAGACCTGCCGGGTTGGATGGTGGTAATCATCAAATTACTAATGAATGATGGCCCAAATTGCGGGCGGAGTAATGAATAGATGGCGGCAGGTCTTATTAGTCTCCGAAAACCTCCTGATTTATGTCGCACCATGCACCRCAGAGTTACTCCACAGAAAACGCTATCTACATCCAGAAGTACTGTACCCTAATAAGTATTTTCATCTTAACTCGCGTCCCTGGGCCTCCGGGCTCAGTTTTTGTTGGAGTCAGGCAGAGCCATAATAAAGCCCGATGGCTCCTTAGAAAGCTTGTTAAACACAGTGTGTGCAGGCGGACAGAGTCCCGGCCGTGATTCATGCACTGTACACGGCGCATGTGCGGCTGATTTATGGCCGCGCACAGTTCATAGTCAAAATTACAATTTGAGGGATAAAAAGATTAATTACTATTTGTGGCCGGCAATTTCGTGGGGCTGGTGGGTTGCAGCTGTAGAATGATAGTCCTCTACATCAGTTTGTAGTCAGCCATTCACAGATTATTAAAGCTTTGCAAGAATAAGTGCTCCTCCTGCCTGGTCTGTGCTCAGGCAATATGCGAGACAAAAAAGGACCACAGGGATAAATCTGAGGCTAGCAATAGCCGGACATATGTCATAATTGCCAGTTTCCCATAAATCCCTGGCCAGTGTGGAAGGCACGGCGAGATGCAGTCATCACATCACAGCAGTGGTGATGGCTGCGTATGGCCCCAAGACCTGTCACTTTGTGACTGCACCACCATTTTTACAATATATTGAGTCACCCTTCGACTTTCTTCCAGTCTAATTATAGATTAGAAATAATCATTGCTTTTATGTGCAAAAGAAAGGGGGAAATCTGTTCCTTCAGCTGGAGCTGGCGTTCAAGGGTGCTTGCCTTAGAAAGTGTCCGAGGAGGAGACCCAGACCCGTGTGTGTGAGAGCATGCGGTAACCGCTCGGCGGACGACGTAACCGTAATTAACCTGATCTACGTTTTTGTGTCCTGTTGCAG